AGAAGGTGACTCTGCGATCGGCGTAGTGGGGAAGGAGGCGCCGTCTAAACAGTTCCCTGATTGGGACTTATTTTGGTTCCAGTCGGGGTACACTTTTTTTGGTTCAACTTTCTCCAAATTGAAATCCGTTTGCACCGTTGCGATCAGATAGTCGAGCTCTATCCAACGATATACTTTTCATAATTATTTGTAATACTTTTTCCAACATCATATTTTTGGGTGTTTGACTTTAACAGAGTCAAAATTGGTTTAATTGACCTTTCTCATAAAAGGTTCTCTCATTTAATTCATATCAATTATTCTCATGATTTATTTCAATAAATCATTACAAAGTTCACATCATAATTAATTAATTTATTTATTCTTGATTTGGGTCTGTACTCAGGTTCCCAATCAAGACCACACAAATAGTCCACATATTGGATTTATCTCGATTAGACTTATCCAGATTTTGATATTGGATATTAAAAAATATTTCATATCGGCCCAAAGCCCAATAATAATCAAAACAAATTTGTTTAATCGAATAATTATTTAATAATAATTTTAGGGTATGTTTCGGGGCGTTACACATTGCAATGATGCCTGTAAGTCGGTCAAAGAGGTTTCAGGCTGGGTGACGGTTGTGATGTCTTGCGAATCACTGTCCGACATTGAATGTTGGAAATTTTAAAGTAAATTGGACATTTTCGGACATAAATTCGGTTGGGTCCACAAAATTATTTTTCCAAAATAATTATGGACGATTAATCTCGTAAGTAAGACGAACTTCTTGACATATTACACGCCATAAACGGTGCTCGGGTCAATGAGAAATTAATTCTCAAAGTTGAATACTAAGGTAGAGTAAATGCCTTTGTCCCACACCGGTTTCTAAACCTTTCATATTCTCATAATTAAGCTTAGGCATTGAATTGAGCTTATGAAAGGAACAAGAAGAGAACTCCTCGCGCGCCCGCCGCCGCCGCCGCCGCCCGCCCGTCCGGCTCGACACGACACGCGCGTCGCGTCGCGTCGCGTCGTGGCGAGGCGAGGCCAGGCGCGTCGCGCCCGCGTCTGCGGCGGGGCGTGGCTAGTTTTTTACGAGACCAAAACGAAACGCGCGGGCACACTTCGTTAATAACGAAGTGTGCGGAGTAAGGCATGCATGCATGAAGAGTCTTTCGACTCTTCGTAATATCCGATGTCCAACGAAGGGTCCAAAGTTGCTCTCCTATAAATGGAGGGCTCGGCTGCAGAAACAACACACTAGACACCCTCTCGAAAATTCACTCTCTCTGCAGTAAAACTATTCCCGCAAATCCCTGAGTTCCGAACATCTTCTCCGGCAGTAACACCGTCATTCTCGCTCGTCGGTGCTTTGTTCTACCGCTCTAGACCTAGCACGAAGCGGTTTTATCCTGGGAGGAGATTGCCCACGTTAGCCAGTGCGGGAGGCGGGCAATACTACCTTAAGGAAAGCTCCGACGACTCCGCTTTCCTTACTCTTCTTTCATAAACTACTCCGGCGTTCTTCCTCTCTGCATCCGCCGTCTCTGTTAGCCGTTCAAGCGCCCGTCCGTTCGTGTTCCGGCATCCGTTCGAGCATCCGAAGACTCCAAGATTATTTTTCTTTTATTTTTGTTGTAAAGTCCGAACGTTTTATAAGTTCGGATTATTTATTTTTATTTTCCCGCTGTAATATTCAACAATCTTAAGGTAGTACTGATGGAGTTCGGATTCGGCATCGTGGGTTCCTCCGGCAACGGAATGAGTTCCGAAATTCCGGTAGAAACCTCTTTTGTAGCCATGGTTGTGCCGTCCTCACCACTACCCTTCAGGGCAAGTGTGGGGGCCGCAATCATGACGTCGTTTTCAATGCCGAGTTCGATCTTCGGGTCGGCCCCTCGACCCATTCCCGGGCTCGAAACTACGGGGGATCACCCCGTCGGTAATTCGAACCCGTTTCTCGGACCGACTACGGCTTCGGCCTCGACGGTCAACTTTGGACCGAACGCGGGCTTTCCCACACCGATCAACGTAGGACCGAACGCGGATTTCCCCACACCGGTCAATCGATTCGTTAGACCCCATTGGGCGACTAACGGGCCTTTCCTCCACACGCCCAATACAGTTGGGCCGATTACAGTGCCCGGTAGTTCGGTTCAAAGGCCACCGAAGTTCAATGAGACGAACTTCAAAATGTGGCAACAAAAGATGATGTTCTTCATGACCGTCTTGGGATTTGCTAAGTACCTGCAGCAAGATCCCCCCAGCCCAATGAAGCAAGTGACCCTCTCGTGGCGATGGTGAACCAAGCATGGTTCCACAACAACTATCTCGCTATCAACATTATCCTGGAGGGGTTGGGAGATTCGTTGTACCCCGTCTACGCCGGTGCAACGCTCGCCAAGGAGCTTTGGAATAGCTTGAACAAAAAATATCAAGCTGAAGATGTCGGCACAAAGAAGTTCATCGTCGGGAAGATGCTGGACTACAAGATGGTCGACAGCAAATCTGTTGTCGCCCAGGCTGAGGAGCTTACGGTAATCTTCAACAAGTGCAATGAAGAAAAAGTAGGCGTCAGCGAGGCCTTCCAAGTGGCGGCCATCATCCACAAACTTCCCAGGTCGTGGGAAGACTTCCAAGCCGACCTCAAGCTCAAGAGAACAGAGCTGAATCTAGAGCAACTGCTCACGCGGTTGAGGATCCGAGAGGAAGGGCTTGCTAGAAGAAATGGAGGGGCAAAGGCGAATGTTGTAGAACACCCGTCGGGCTCTTCACATGGCGGGAAGGACAAAAAGAAAATGGGTCCTAAGGGTGGTGTTTCAAAATTTGCAGGGAAATGCTACAACTGTGGCATTACCGGGCATCGTTCCTCTGATTGTAGGAAAAAGAAGCCACAAAAGGGAAAGAAGAAACCCACTGAAGCCATGTGTGCGGAGCTTGACAACTTGGACCTCTGCGCGGTCGTCACCGAGGTGAATCTCGTCGGGTCAAACCCGAGGGAATGGTTTGTGGACACAGGGGCCACACGCCATATTTGCTCAAACAGGAGCATGTTTCACGACTTCCAGGAGACCTCCGGTGACAAGGTGTGGATGGGCAATTCGGCCCAATCAGAGGTTCAAGGGATTGGAAAGATCAAGCTGAAAATGACCTCCGGCAAGGAGCTCACGCTCAACGACGTGCTCTATGTCCAGAATGGTGTTTGAATCAGACAAGCTAATTTTGTCCAAGAAAGGGATTTTTATTGGGAAAGGTTATATTTCCGATGGGCTTGTAAAGCTTAATGTAATGACTGTTCATGAAAAGATCAATAAAAATCCTGTTGCTTATGTGTGTGAGTCTTCTAGTTTATGGCATGGTAGACTAGGACATGTTAATTATGCATCTCTCCGGAAATTAACTAACATGGAACACATACATAAGTTTAGTATTGACTTAACCCACAAGTGCGAAACTTGTGTCGAGGCTAAGTCAACTCGAAGTTCGTTTCAAACAATCGAACGGAACACTCAACCTCTAGAGTTGGTACACACCGACTTGTGTGATTTTCGAACAACGCCTTCAAGAGGAGGTAATAAATACTTTATTACCTTCGTCGATGATAGCACGAAATATTGCTATATTTATTTACTAAAAAGTAAAGATGAAGCGTTAGACACTTTCGTTCGATATAAGAATGAAGTGGAAAATCAACTCAATCGCAAGATAAAAGCATTGAGAAGCGATAGAGGTGGTGAGTATGATGCTCCACTCAATGAGTTTTGTGCACAACATGGAATTGTGCATCAAGTAACCCCACCGTATACGCCACAGTCTAACGGAGTAGCGGAACGCAAGAATCGCACTTTAAAAGACATGATGAATGCGATGCTACTTAGTTCTGGATTACCTCAGAACTTGTGGGGGGAGGCTGTTTTATCAAGTAATTATTTACTAAATAAAATACCTTGTAAGAAACTTGACAAAACTCCGTATGAACTTTGGCATAATAGGAAACCTTCCTATAAGTATCTTAAAGTGTGGGGGTGTCTCGCGAAAGTACTTGCACCACCACCAAAGAAGATGAAGATCGGTCCAAAAACAGTTGATGGAATCTTCATCGGGTACAGTAGTACGTCATACCGGTTCTTGGTGTATAAACCAGATAATCCTGAAATTCACAAGAACACAATCATCGAGTCACGGAATGCAACATTTTTCGAGCATATTTTTCCGTGCAAGTCAAGTGACGAAGCCAGTTCGTCCAAACGTTTTCACACTGAGATGATGGATAATGATGATCCAAATCAGTTGAATTCCGATGACGATGAAGTCGAACATGAGACTGAATTGAGACAAAGTAAAAGAATGCGAACTGAAAAGACGTTCGGTTCTGACTTCATAACATATCTGATAGAATTTGACAAAGGAACTTTGTCATTTCTAATGGAAAATGAACCCGATATTCTAACCTGTTTGGTAGAAAAGGAACCACGAACCTATCACGAGGTCGTAACCTCAACTGAGGGACCTCAGTGGCAAGAAGCCATAAAAAGTGAAGTTGATTCTATCCTTCAGAATCACACGTGGGAACTGGTTGATCTCCCTCCAGGGTGTAAGCCATTAGGTTCCAAATGGGTCTTTCGGAGGAAAATGAAGCCTGACGGCTCCATTGACAAGTACAAAGCTAGACTTGTGATCAAGGGGTATAGCCAACGCGAGGGCTATGACTACTTTGATACTTACGCGCCTGTGACTAGGATAGATTCTATCAGAATGATCATCGCATTTGCATCCTTACGAAAC